GGGGGGGGGGGGTCCCCGCACTAAATTATATGGACTATGGTTATATACGTTTTCCGTGAGCCCTTCAACCCTTTCAGTATTGCGATACGTGTTTACGGATTCAGGTGTAGCGATGAACGTAGAATCTAAATGAGATGAATATTTATTTAGCGACACACTCAATTAGCTGCTCTCAGGAATTACCAAGACGCTACTTGTACCCGAGCGTCTGCACTATCGTTTCGTATCGAGCTCTTATCATGCAAGGGACGATCTGTACACATCGTTGAATTCCTTGTCGAACGACACAATGGTGATCGTAAAGCACAGTAAGCGAGTCAAAGATAAACTTATTGTCAGAGAAAAAAAAAAAAAACTTTCAGGGTTTCTCTAGTTAGTAAGTTTTACGATGTGCCACATAAAATTTAACCGTACACGTAGACGTGTACGACTTCTTTTTTTCATATCGTAATTCAAACCTAACGTGAGTTTATAGTAATTTTATTTTGCAGTGTTTCATCGCCCTAGACGCTTCGACGAATTTTTCTGTATTTCTCAAGTGCAAAAAGTGGGTTAATCAATTTCGTAGGAACAGCCAATGTAATTAATTCTCGAGGGATCGCTCACCAAAACCATACGGCCCTGCCACAGATTTCTATAGCCACGTACGAGGTCGAATGATTAGGGGTTTTTACAAAAAATTACTTTTCGTATTTTAACACAGCACGAGAACGATTGATCTGTTAAAATTGCAATAGAGCCTGTTTAAACGGAAGATGCTGCAGTCTTGAAATTGTTCACCTCTACCGGCATTTTCTTCGGGGATACCTTATTATTCCAAAGGCGAGAGGGTTGGTCGCGAAAGGTTCGTTAAATAAAATAGTAGGGTGTCAAAAGCGCTCATACACTTTCATCCACTTTACACACCCACTTAAAGCGACGCGCCCTTTTAACCAATGTCTCCCTGTCTACACTGATCCTGCAAAAAGTCGTTTTCCAAGGTTCACAACTCTTAATCGACTAACACTTGGAAACCCTGTTCATTTTATTCTCAGGCTATAATCAGACAATGTATTATGAAATTATTAAGGAAACTTTAATCGAGTCGGACCTCTCTGCTATTTCGTAACTGGGGTAAGTCTTGGGGATGATAATTCATTCTACTAAACACCTAGAGGACCTAAATGGTCTCGGACTTACGGGTGTCCTCGTAGTATACCCTCAAATTTCCACTGGCTCCTGAGCCACCAGGAAGTTTCTACCCGTGTCCCGACTACTCGCAAAGACGAAACAGATACCCGAATATCGAGCAACGCGTAACTAACCTACAACGACGTCAATTTGTTCTGGTACTAAGCCATTGATACAATAATATGCATATGACTTTAGTTCGCAATTAAATTATCGAACTTGTATAAAGCACTGGGTTTAACGCTAAGGATGACAAACAAATTTATGTATCGTGAACGCGGGTAATAACGTAAAAAAAACGTCATCTGCTGCTGCTATTATATTTTTCAAAATTTTTCATAAAAGTTATTAGCTGTACATACATCGAGTTATGGTTCATTAACGCTTGAGACAAAAATGTAAAAACACGTGATAATTAACGACTTAACCGGGTATCACGGCTCCCAGATTTTTCGCTGTCTGCGGTCTAAAGTTATTTTCCACCTTTGGACTCACGCGACTTCCAATTAAACGCCAAATTCAGTGACTAACAAGCATAAAGCAAGCATAAAGCAAACTCGGGAATGGTACGTTTTATAAATACGAGAAATATGAAAATGACCGAAAGATGAAAATTTACACAAAATTAGTTTCATCTAAAACTCATGCTTTTCACTTTATTTTCATTTTGTATGCTTTGCAGCGTTTGTGGATGTATGTCGATATACGTATATATTGCACGGCAAGGTATCTAATATCAGTATTCGTTCATGCATATCACAGACTGACATTTTGCAAGGTTACTAAGCTTTGTCCATAGTTCGTCCGACGTAATTGCTATTGGACAATATTGAAATCCTACCATTATTATTACGGTAGTTACAGCAAAATATTACATACCTTTGTTTCACGGGTAATAAGAAAAGTAATTATTTAACATAAATGATTGGACACAAAGTGAAATTAATTTTGCAGTTTTCTTCAATCCTGAATGCTAGTACTAAGTACTAAGTGTCTCGGCACTATAATCAGAAATGTTTTTCGAGGTTAAAAATATATACAGGGTGTCTCACCGAAAGTGCACACCTCCATTATCTCCGTTACTAACGAAGATACCGGGAAAAGTGTTAGACGAAAGTTGTATGGTTTCAAGAGGGTCGATTTTTCATCCAGATGATTTTTTTAGCATTCATTTGATTTCGAGTACAGCAAGTTACATGTTCTTTTTCTAATAGACCATCATTTTTTGTTGGTATAAGAAAATGTAGCGCGTTTTTTCTCAACATTTTACGACCTTTCAGATTAAAACCCGCTTAGCCATTTCCCACTTATAGAGAAGTGAAATTATTGAACAATCTTCGGAGCACTTAGGATTCGTTCGCGCGTTTAATTTCGCAACCGAAAATTGTTCAATAAATTCACTTCTCGATAACTTGAAAATGTCTTAATGGATTTTGGTCTGCAATGTCTTAAAAAGTTACGAAAAAAAAAACGATCTACATTTTCTTATACCGGTAGAAAATGATGTTCCATTAAAAAAAAAAACATGTAAACTGCTGTTTCTCGAAATCAAATGGATATAAAAAAAATCATTTGGATGGAAAATCGATCCCCCTGGAAACCATACAACTTTTGCCTGAAACTTTTTCCCGTATCTTAATCGAGGTGTGCGCTTTCGGTGACACACCCGGTATATATGTAGTATACAAGGGAGAAAATTGCATATTACATAGAACAAGGATAATAAATCTGCATTCCTTGCCTTCGGGAACAATTGCAACTTTTCAAAGGGCTCTCCAAGATTGTCGCGGCCGTGCACTCGGAAATACATAGTGATGAAAGACGGAGTTCGAAAGTTATCGTACAGTCCCAACAAAGTAGTATAAAACTTTGCAACAATTTACATGGGGTCTCTGAAGACAACTACGAATAAGTTCGAAAGGTCCGAATAAATAGTATACAGGAATATGAATGAAAATTATAACATAGCAAAGCCAATGCAGAATGGACGTGAAATCCTTATAAAGAAACAGTTTAGCGGAAACCGCAATCTTACTTGATCGCAACAACAGGGACGAACACGCTGCTCAGGATAACACTGCCGTAAATCGCAGCGAGGCTAATTTGACCCAATCCTGCGTTTATTGAACTTTGCAAGTTCGCTGTACCCTCGTAGGCCGTGAATTGCACCATGAATGCTCCACTGAGAATGGTAACGTTCAAAACTATTCTCCACTTTTCGTTAAGGCCAGACGTGCACCCTCGCCCATCCTGAGAAGAGAGCTTCTTAGTCCCTTCGATGTCTGTCATATTTTTCTGAAAAAGAAGGAAAAAAAATCAAGAATTCAAAACAACCCAAGAGCTATATATATATAGAAGCGAAGAAAAATTAATCCGACTATATTAATCCTTAGGCTGCGAAATTAGAATCCAGGCACATCGCGTTACGTCAGACGTTGCGTAAATATTATATAACATCGATATGCGTATATCCAGGACGACGTGCAGGTTAAAGGATTAGTATTGTGGGCAATAAAGTCCTAAAGCTGAGATCGGTAATCCACGATATCTCGGCAGTCTTGTACGATAATTATCATCCGAGAACCGTCGTCAAAGTTATCTTCGTGTCACAGATTATCGCGTCCTTTTGAGGAATAACCCGAGGTCCGTTTTCCGACAACGTGGATCATCCGTGGGATTAAATTATTCCAGCTGAGTTTTCCGCTTTGAGGATTCGTCCAGACAACGCATGACGTCGCACTTTACTATTCAAAGTTCATTATTATCGCGTCATGGTTTCCTTTCGTCACGTGGGATCAACCAAGATATCTTTATTGTATACGGTTCATCAAGGTATCTAGCCTATCTTTATATATTTATAGAATAAGCTTTTTTACTGAGAAATATTGAGAAGTCTCAAATTTTATGACATTTCGATAAGATTGCGTTATAGTTATTACCTTATCTTTAGATACCTTTTTTTTTCCCAAAATTGTATCCCAATTCTTTTTTAGGTTTTACATAAGTATGGATTCACTGATAATAATATCCTTCAGTATATTTTAGAGTAAATTATCAAATTAAGATATCACGCAAGTCTAGAAGATTTCCAGCAGATATCTGTTTCATAATTTTTATTACGACTTCAACATTTTTAAATGCTATCAGAAAATTAATTTTAGATTCTTAGGTAATGATACGCGTTGCAGATGATATAAGAAATCTCTTGCGTCTATCTGATATTACCATAAAATATAAAATCATTTCAAATATATTTTAAAGTCATTTAATCTTAGGGTTATCTGGGTCCACATACAGAAATAATACTGATAATATCTTAAGTGAGAAGATAGTATGGCCGCGAGATCTAATGTGAGGCTGTTAGTGAAAATTAACTAAATCTATATATTGATTGATTATTTCAACGAAAAATGAGTTTCATAAATTTAACGGCTGTTTTGAGGACCATAAAGCGGTTTGACACGAGTTAGGTTAGGATAGGATAGAACTCCAATGCTATATATATATTGTAGGACGGACCATTGTCATTGTTAATGACTATTAAAACGATATCGTTTATCAATAAATAAATAACACGATAATCATTGTTCTTCATCATTTGATTTTATTGCAGAAAATTTATTCGATATTGATAATAATGTATAATAGTTAATAATAATATCGTGGTGCCATTTTATGATTTGTAATCTACTAGAAAACAATATAGAAAATATCTCTCTAAAAATAGTATTCCCACTTGAAGATTAATGATTTAGATTGAAAACTGCTTAATCATGATAGAAAAGAAGCCCAGTAAATGACTATCCATTAAAACTCGGTGAAACGATGTTCAATGCATACGAATAACACGCCGGAAGATTCTGATGAGATCAGCGTAAAATCGTATTGATTCTTTCGAATTCAGTCGAAAGTGGTTTTCGTGAACAAAATAAAAGACCTTGATATCTCTTTATCCTCCCATATTAAATTTCTGATAAAATCATTCATTCTTTTTATAAAAAGGAACCTTTGAACATTCAGGCATTGTCGTCATTAGTGAAATCACGTGAATTCCCACGCACTTGCGCGTTCTACGATCTGAACTTCATTGCAGTAAGAATCTCATATACTCATGTATCTCGTATAAAACTTTGGTCCTTTATTGAGTGTAAATAAACAACGTTATAAATTGTTTTTATTCGATACAAAAAAAATTACGAAAGAATTTCACTTCCAGACGCTTTTGAAAAGATGAGAGACCTGCGTCATGATGCAAAAAATTAAGTAGCCAATACCAATAAATCTTTTTTTTTTCAAAGTCACGAATATGAAAAAAAATAATTTATTCTACTGAAACCATTAATTTCTTTTTTTTTGTTCCTTTGAAACCTCGAAAATACTCAGCGAGAAACAAATACAATACTGCAGCATGTAGATAACGAACGGAAATTAAAAAATGTAGTAGCAACACGGTCCAACAACAGATTTCCAGGAAGGCAAATACATAAATTGCTGGCACTAACTATGCATAATGAATCCCCGGAGTGGTTTATGTTTACCAGGAAAATACAAACTTTAACGTAAAAGTTAATTGAAAGCTGTTTCAAGGAAATTTCATCGGCGTGTAACAGACAGGTAAATGAAGACGAATGGTCATTTCTCGCAAGATATAGTAAAAAAAGTAAAAGTGTGTCTGACAAATGCACCACATATTTACCTATTAGATAATTTCTTCGTAGTACAACAATTTCTTTGTCCCACAATGAATTTGACAATAATTATTTATAAATTCAACACTCCGCTATCGATAACATTGAATATATTCTATTTTAATCGTAACACGATAAATTATAATAACGTCTCACTGTACACAGTAGACACTTCAGAATGCTGCAACTATTGATCCAATCCTAATTAGACTAAATTGGACATGTCAACTGCTTATCTGAGCGACCCAAACTCTTCCTATCAGATTATAAAATATTGTCGTTATCTACACAGACATTATAATTGGATTAAGTGATACAAAACTAGTTGCTGTTAATCAAATAAAGAATTTTAAGTATCATGTGACATTGATTGTATACGTTCATTCGCATGACCGTACAAAATTATGAACAAGGTGAACAAATTTTTCGAAAACACTCTGTTGCTCAATTTTAATGTGTATTAAGACATGTTTTATTTGACATATTATTGTTTTATTGTGCAAGGGAGGATGTACATTTTTTTTTCGTTAAAACAGAACAATATATTATGTTCTGAAATTCTTTTCATTCCAGTTTACCGTTTATGTAAGATTATGCAGTTTCTCTGAGCAGCACTCTGCTCACGCATCTTACATATTTATCCTGTTTCAATAACGCTTCGATTCCTTTGATAACTCCTGGTTCCTCCACACGAGCTATACCCTTCATAAATGATAACGAAAGAAAAAAAAAAGAAAAACTTTATTCTTATGCTAAAGTTCGTAAAAACTTTGTTAATTTTTGGCACTGAAACTTGGTTACCCAATATTCTTGGTAATACTCGAACTAAGCGTTTTCAATTTTTTTTTTTTACGCTAAAGTTTCAAAAGGGCCTGGGCGTAGCGAGACGTTCTAAATTGACTTTGATCAATAACAGACATAAGTGGAAAGTTAAGATTTCGAATATTCAACATCACTTGGAGTAAACGCCGACTCGACGATTATCTGTACGTTGAAGGGAATATTTTAATTAACATAAATATAAAAATCCAGGACAGTGCGAAATAAAAAAAAAAGTATTTTCTGAAATCTCCGAGTGCGAAACATTCTCGAGTAATTATTCCTATAAATTTAAATTAATATATTTACGACTCTTGGCAAACATATCCAGGACGTGTATTGAAATTCAATATATCTGATTCTGATATGATTGCCTCTTCTTATCGGTTTAATCCAAATTCGATATCCAAACTAAGTTCCACAGAATAAGCAAAAGAAATTATTTTGCGACAAACAAGCCGACCAGCAAAAGCGTCTAAAAATTGACCACTTTCGCGGGTACCACTTAATTTACCTATTTCATATTTTATTCGTTAAGATCCGATAAGCTATCAAAAAAGTGTCCTTCTAACGTTAATTAAGGGCATCGGTATCTTCTTCTAATTTTCTCACATCATTCGCGCGATACACAAAGTATTTTCTTCGCTAAAATGACACAATGGTTCGCAGGACAAACTTCGTATCTTTATTATACAGAGAAACAATAGGTCAATCTCTAAACATAATCAACAGAAAAATGCCTCCATCTCTCGGACTTTATCCTTTGTTCGGTTAACTCGCGTCGACGTAGGGTGAAACTTTATGCCAATTTTTCTTAACCAAGGATTTTCCGTCTTGCACCTCTTTGCTCCCTCAAGAAAAGATTCAAAAGTAATGTGACAGGCTTACTGCCATTAAGCGTAATGTAAAATAAAAATTAATCATGAAGATGAACCGTGATCAAAAAGGAGGATACTTTCTTGTGTTTAATAAAGGATTATAAAAATTTCAAATTAAATCGAATGAACAAAGAGAATGGGAAAAAAAGTTATTGAATATTGAAAAATATTAAAACCTAGTCATTCTGTTTACGTTACTTGGTATTTTGTTACGTATTAGATTCTTCAGAGCTCCCTTAAACACCGGCACGTGCACAAGAATTATTCGATGAATTTTGTTTGAGCTACGTTCGGAAAATCAGTGAATTAGATAAAAAATAAGTGTAGTAGAATGATGGAGTAGAAAAATATTTTTGGAATTCACAGCCTCGTGGTAATGTAATAAAATTATCATTCGTTCTTAAGGTTCGCATGGAGCTCATAGAGTCATTATAGAAGAACGTCTCAGTAAAGTTTATTCAAGTTGCCTCTTCTCGAGTTCTCAAGAATTTTCAATCAACCACGTTCCGTCGCGTGTACCATTTGGCGTACCGTTCAATCTATAAATGATTTCTATAACAATGAAAAATTCAATGATTTTTCATGAATCTCAGGTAACACAAAGGCTATTAGCTTGACGTTATTTCGATGCCAAGTAAAACTCGTGGACGAATTTTTATATTACCTGCATAGCCTTGCCAAAATAATAAGAATAAGCGTTTCACGTTACATCATCTCCAGCCGAATGGAGCTCTGTGATGTGCTGAGTAAGATACGAGAAAAATACTCAGGACTCTCGAAACGTGAAATCGAAGAGACGCTGCTAGTTTTCTTTTACGAGTAAATTTCGTTAACGACCTAACCGTCGTGAAGGAAAAAATTTGTAATTAGACTTTTTCATTTAGTAAAATTCATATCAGCTTCGAATCGAATTTTCGTAGATACTTAAATCGCAGGCAAAAGCGCGCGTGTTGCCCTAGTATAGGAAAGCGCCGACGAAGAAACCCAACTAGAAATCTATACGAGGTTGAGGATAAGGAATTACTGAATCCCTGTGACACGCGAGAAAACCAATTTTGCCTGATGTAGAGATAAGACATAACCGAGAGCCTGTGGGATTTAGGGTCAAAGGTGACGCTGCCATCCGATAATGGTGGTAGGCTTACTAAGATAGGCTGATACGATTAAGCATCACAGCCCTTAAATAATCAGTTTGATCTCGAGAGCAAAGAGATTCGAGAAGTTCAAAGCGTGAATTATTGTAAGTTAAACGTAGGTGGACCATAGAAGCGATAAGAGAATTTGCACGACAGTCATGCTTTACCGGGTGAGGTCCGACGAAGAAAATAATTTTTTTAAATGAGACGTAGGCTAGCCAGTCTATTGCAGTAGAGGGATGTATAAATTGAGGAGGTGGCAGAGGGTGAAGGTAGGGGTGCTCTTTCAGTCTGTTAGACGAAATTCCTGAGGTGATGGTACCACCCCTTGTTGATAAGGGAATGCGCGTATTAAGAGAGGCTACAAGGAGGGGTTGCTCGTGGGAGACGGTCGCGTAGCTCTCGCGCTACAAGTCTCTTCAGTATTCGCGCGCCCCTACATTCGGCTGGACCACATCTCGAATCGGAGCAATAGCGGCAAATATTAAATAAAATAGAAAAATATGATACTTCGTCGAGCGAAGCAATGCAAAAACTTCGTACAGTATTAAATTTGCAAATATATTGTGCAAGTACTGTGAACTTATCGGATGTTCGAGTTTATGGGGATTTTTGGTTTCCACGTAGAAAATGAATGAACAAGAGCAAATTTTGATTTTTGTACGGGTGCCGTTAAATTCGCCAAAATTTTACGAAAAAATTGCATGATTTAATACGCCGACGCTTAAACGATCGTTTATCGTGTTTCGCGCTAACTTTCGTTCCTATATCGAAACGCTTGGTGGTTGTTTCTCTCGATATAATTCGTCACGCAGCACTGACCGTTATGTGTATCAATCAATAGCGTAAACGGCTGTTTGTGGAAAAATATCATCAGTTAAAAAAGAATTTGGAAAAGAAATGTCGGCGTTCGTACGACAATAGACTTTTACGGTGTCGTTCGAGGGATGTGGATAGAGCAAGGCAACGGCAAGATGAAGTGAGGGTGAGAATTATTCCACATCAAGGGTACAAAAGGCATTCATAAATTATAAACCGCTACCCCCTAAGACACAATACACCTGCCAGCAAATTCACCCTGAACTCTAGCGCCCTTTTAACAGCTTCTTGATGTACCTCACAGTGCATGCATTATTCTTTCAGGGCGTGGTACACATTAAGATAGAAAAATAAGTGAAATTAGGTACTATGATATAGCACGGTGCAAAAAACAGTGAAAAAATTTTAAAATAATATATACACGCGTATGCGCCCACAGCACACTAATATATGAGCGACCATTTAATTTACGAGATCAACTTTTTTAATCGTACAAGAAAGTACTCAATGATTCACCAGGGTTTTCGCAAAACCATGCCAAAAGAAAATGCCAAAGCTCCTCAGACAAATATATTACACGCAAAAGGATTGTATAAAGCTACCCATACAGGAGTAATACTCGACACGGCTCGTTAATCAAATTCCATACGTCACAGAATTAAACAACAATGTCGTATTTTAAAATGACTGTACTACCCCTCGTTAACGAGATTTTTATTCCACGGAATCTGTTGCTCTTTATTTAGTAATATAAAATGTATATAACGAAACTGTCTGTCGAGCCAATAAATAACGCGCACTCTGTCGATTAACGTTGCGTTACGAACTTTTCAGTATACAGAAAAATGGAAACAGCTATCCGGGTCATCTCACTTTCATGGGTTCTAGTTTATACGTTGCGTCGGTATTAAATACTGCGAGTTGCCATGCGCAAAGCTGAAATTATTGTTTGCATTTAATATGCACGTGTAAGGCAGATACGAAACAAAGCATCTAATAATGTTACACGAAAATAAATATCATTGTCGAAATAACATGTGAACGCACATAAGCATATTAATATAGTTCCGATAAGAAATCGTGTATACAAGACTTCAAATTATAGATAATTTTAACGACGCGAATCTATGAGAAGCTGTAAAATTTCAGTAAATGAATTCTGTTAAATTATAGATACGTAACAGTTCCATATACATCGGATAATTGTAAAAATTACAGATAGCAAGGTGCTTATAACGATTACAAATGAAGCAAAAATATTTACGCCACGATAAATGTATATTCTACGTGAGAAAAATTCAATTCGCAATACAAGCAATTAATGAATTATGCACATTAATATTTAAAATCAACAATGTTGAATTACTTGTAAAAAAAAAGAAGTTCATCGAAATCGTTGTTGCGATGACAAATTATTTTTTCCCGTGTATTACAGTATAGCCATGTCTAGATGTGTGTATACGCGTAACTGGTACGATAGGTGCTTAAGCTAGAAAAATGTTTCGACATTTAGTACACGTTAGGTAAAACAAAAAGAAGAAGCCACTAAGCCATAACACGGTAGGTCGAAATATATATAAAGAACTTACCTCGCATATTGTGCATAGTAAATATAAACTCGTGCTGGACAAAAGTTTTCTACTCTTTCTATTTTTTAAATTTATTTAGCTTCTAATCCCCTTTTTTTTTAATAAACCGACCCAGAACCCTCTGTCGACGAGGAACCTGCACGTTGTTCCCCGTGACCACGAGGAATCTGTTATTAAAATGCATAATACATTTGAATTCTTAATGCCAAAGAATTCTGAGTGTCGGTTCTCTATTTAGTTCATAAAGGAACGTAATACAAACAGCACAATTTTTTTTTTTCATTAGCATCCGTATATGAAAAAAATTTCTGTAAGGGCACATAAGTACATAGAGAGAAATATACATGTAATGAGAGATTTTGTCGAGCACAAAGAACGTAGCTAATGTAGGATCATTCGTTTGTTAATCCTTTGCCGCAATACTTTCATACTATTTTACATGGCTGAAAGCGAATGCCCTTCCTCTATGTAATAGACAAACGTGAAGAGTCCAAGTTTTCTCTGTAACCGTATTGAGTGATTTTTAATATTTTCCCTGCCCGTTCGCTAACTTTTTTTCTTATTTTCTTTCCTTGGACACTACGGTGCCGATATCAGCGGCCGTGTTTCTCCACTGTCGTAAATGCCAGGACGAGAATGGAAACGGTAAGTGGAAGTAAGGGCGACACGTCCGCGAGCACTTCCTTTCCGTTTTCTTGAGTTTAGTGTAGCTTTTTATCGTGTCTCGTCCAGAGCAATGTAGATTTATCGTTATAACTTTCCGACGCTTTCCCGAGACCAGCACGCTTTTCCACTTGGTCCTTGGGCCACTATACGAGAATATGACCGAGAAAATATGATTTTCAAGTGTCATCACGCGATAAGTCAAAGACAGACTTTCCACAGTGCAGACTATTCATTTTACTTAAACTACTCTCTCAGCCTTTAGCCATCGCGTGTTAACGTGTCGCTTTAAAAATAATCATTTCGTATTCATCGTTGGAGCTTTAAAAAATTCATAGAATTACACACGTTTAATTAAATAAAGCTTGCCTTTCGAGGTTCAACGTTTTTCAAATCTTACTCCCATTTAATGTCACGTGCAGAGGGTATCATTAAAAAGGAACATGCTTAATAAGATCCAAGTGGAAGCTCTTGAGAGACCAATGGTAGAATTTAAATAATTCTTAGCATAAGGTCGCGCGTCGCTTTATTACTATTCTATCGCGTTATAAAGTTTTCACCCCTTGCTGCTAGGAGGGCTTATAAAGGGTTTTTGTAGCATCTATGTACAATGTACATAGGTAATGCATTGCATTTCACTATAACAGCAAAAGATCGTATATTACACTATAGGAAGTGCATTAATTGCATTCACTAATGATCACTGCACTCGAATGCATTGAAACTGAACTGAATTTAATCCTTTGTAGGCCAAAATAATCCTGCGCGAACACTAGTATTTATTCGCGTTTTTCACATTTTTTTTAACGATCATTATTTTTAAAACGTTACAGAGTCCATGTCAAAAATTGAGTATCTACAATGACAGCCAAATATATAAAAGCATCTTTAAGTACATAAAAATTAGTCCACGTCCATCGATATGATTCATTGTATTCTACAACTATACGGTGATGCACAATACCTCATGCTTCGTTTCCATTGTCCTCAATAATTTCATCCACAATGAGCATTTCCGTGCACTAAACTGATCACTTGTCAATCCCTTCACAAGACAATAAGGCACAACATGATATTGACAATGGTGCAATAATACATTTTTTTTCGTTCTATTAACTGTTCTTCAGTTGAAAATTCGTATTGTCTCGTCAAATATCGTGAATCGTTTTACTTTTATCTTTCCTACTGTGCTACGACTTTTTCTTTATAGCAAGGGTATTTTTTTCTGTACCATATCGTGGAATTTCATTTTCATAAAATCGCTTCGTACAGAAACGATACGACGTTCGGCGATGGATATTGAATTTTTGTTTGTTTGATGCGTCCCTGTATATCGTGTCATTCTCAATGAATATACTGATCGCAGCGGGATGCTCCGTCGATTTCCCCTACTTTTACCAAGAGATGCTTATTGATTCCGTAATTACGTAAAATCGAGGATATTGCTTATACCATGAAATTACCTGTCACCTGCATCCTATATTGCAAATTTTCCGATCCTCTTGTTTTCAGATCGCTGCGAAGAGGCAACCAGCTTCCCAGATATTATTAAATGCTTTTCCAAATTCGATACGAAAACAATAGTTAGTGACTACAGGATTTACATACTACATAAATATGCATTATCGTACGAAATATGGAGAAAAGTAATTTTCAGACACGATTACATGCAGTATTCGATTAAAATAAAGTAATCATTTATTTTCTGTATATTCATCACTTTCGATTTAATATTCGTTTAATATGCGTACTGTGGTTCTCACTTGTGCCTCATAGCCAGCTTGTTTACCCCAACATTTCAAATCCAGTAGGTACGCTCCTGTTCTCACAACCCATCCGATTTCTATTAATCATGCAAGATTTACGGAGTTGCATCGCTCTTAGGTATGACGCCGAATGGTACACAGGCGATCGCAAATCGATGTCAATTTTACGATGAAGGATTTCGCGATTTTACGATTTCGCGAGAAGGATAAAAGCCCATTCGACAGGATTTAAAAACTCCTCTATTTACGCGCCACGTGGAATTTCGTAAAATATCGTCGACTATTACTTTATTTATTACACTGAAAAATCTGGCTTCTGGTAATATCGATTATGGCATTATAGCTGCCATCTGGATATATCGAAACAGTATTTTATAGAGTGTACGAAATTTGTTAAATAAGTTTCACGTGGGTATTTATTGTGCCGAAAGTTCTCAATACTGCAGTCGTATCCATAATATCCATACGAGTTTACACTTGAAAAACAAGACTACTTATATATATAAGTTCGTGGTATGTTTCATAAAAGTTATGAGGAACAAGGAATCCGACGTTAGTGTAGGTCGGGCAACATGTGTATCACGTGCTTCACGTCTATTTAACTGTCACGTGCTTATTTGATCGCAAGTGAATTTTCACCCGGCAAACTTTAAGAACTTATATAAGCTTTGTAACAAGGTTGAGTGATATTTCGAAGATCCATTACATTCTGTCGTACCGCATGCATGGATTATTATAAAAAAAAAATGTTTAACAGCCCCGTATATATTACCACTCGAAAATTAAAATCTGTCATATATCTAGATCACGTCATAAATCCCCAAAGACATAAAAGAACCATCACCCATTGTTCTCGATGACTTTATTATTAAGTATAACACCCTCTAATCCAGTGCCACACGGAAAACCACCAGTTATACCATAATACAGTCGTACGTTAAAAAAAAATAATGAAATTCCAGAAAAAATTAATTCATCCCTATATTCTGCAGCTGTAACTTACTACATCATTCTGTGAGTTTCGATCGGAGTCATAAGCGCCTCATATTTCTCTAAGTATGCTGGTAAGCATATAGATACAAGTATAATGTATATACGCATAATACCGACACGATAATAACGATCCGCAAGCATTAAAAGATACTCGA